CGCATCCAGTAGGATCTCTGCTGCCATCCCCATTTGGCCACCCAAATCCTGTCGCAAAATTGGGAAGGAAAAGTATTAATGATGCACAGGTAGTCAGTGTACGATGAAATGAGAGGAATTTATTAAATTTAGGATGCCTTTTTTTCTCCTGTATCTTTACTTTTACTTTTCCATCCTTCAGAATGACACTACTTCTAAACATTCCCTCTAAATGAAGGCTTGCTGGACAGGGTGTGTTATAACGTCCAATGTACCAAGTTTGCCCTGAGGATGAACTTTAACCTTACAAAACGAAAATGCTAGATGTTCTGGGCCACAAATCTGGATCCAATCCCACCTATCCACATATCCAAACAGCTTGATTAAAAATGTAAAATCAGTCAGCTCCTTGAGCTTGTGGATTATAGTTGGCTAGTGTCAAAACTTAGGGTAGCACGGCCAAGTGGCTTAAAAAATAGACAGATCTGCTATTTGTGACTAAGGTGTGAGTGAACTTTAACCTGATAATAGGAAACTTTAAAAGAGGTTATGTCTTTTATTTTGAAAAAAAATGTTACTATTAGTTTTAAAACAGTTTTTAGCTCATGATTCTACAGGCAAGTTTGTATATTCTAGCATCAGGAAATAGTTGTGTTTTGGAAAAGACTTAAAGACAGGAAACCTGTTCGTCAAATATATCAGTGGAGCTATGTTTTGTACCTGTTAAGAAAGTTGAGGATCTCTGTATTGTGGTTTCACATTGGCATATGACTGCAGGAGGAATATTTTTACCATATTTTCTTCCACTTTCTCAGAATGCAGTAAAGCTTTTTGGGATGATCCAAACCTATTTTCTTCAGTTAATAATTTTCTTTGGGTTGAAACAATCTTCAACGGGGGGTGGGGGGGGTAGTGGAAATACCCTGTTCTGGAGGAAATAAATGTAATGAAAGTATTTATCCATTGGCAGTAACTTGGTGTGTTAATATTAACATAATATTTTTTCCCATGTTCTCGTAATTCTGCGCAGTAATTATTGACTTAACTGTGGCATTGAGAAAATGTTAGAATCTAATAAAAAGAATATAATAGCCGAACATTTAGAAACACATAATATAGATATTTTATGATCACCCTGTTCAGTTTTATTATTATACACCTTTGGAATCAAGCACAGTCAGTATGATTTCCTGTAGGGAAAATCATGCCTGACAAAATTATGAGAATTCTTTGAAGAGTAACAAGCAGGATAGATAAAGGGGAAGCAGTGGATGGAATATATTTTGCTTTTTGGAAGGCTTTTGATAAGGTACCACACATTAGCCTACTTCAGAGGAGAGGCTGTGGTGTTGGGGAAGTATATTTGCATGGACAGAGGACTGCCTAAATAATAAAAGGCAGAGAATGAGGGTAAAGGGGTCATTTTTAGGATGGTAACCTATAACCAGTGGAATGCCACAGGGATTTGTGCTGGAACCACAATTATTTACAATATAATATTATTGTCTTGGATAGAAGTGAATGTACTATTGGCAATTTGCAAATGACACAGAAATAGGTGGGAAGGCAAATGGACCTAGGGTCTGTAGAGAGATATAGACAGATTAAGCAAATAGGCAAAAAGTTGGCAAATGGAATATAATGTGAGAAAATGAGAGCTTATGCACTTTGGCAGGAAGAGTATTATTTAATTAGAGAATCATTGCAGAAAGCTGAAGCACAGAGTGATTTGGAATCTCATGCATGAATCTCAGAAAGTGAGCATGCAAGTGATAATAGGAAGGCAAATGGAATGTGGGCTTTATTTCATGATTTGGAGTATAAAATAGAAAGTCTTTTAGGAAATCGAGGGGTATGGGATAAAGGTAGGAAAGTAGAACTGAGGATTTTCAAATCAACCATGATCTCATTGAATAGAGTAGTAGACTCAATGAGCTGAACGGCCTACTACTGCTTCTATTTTTTTTGGTCTCCTGAAGCCTTGTCTCCAAAAGTGAGAAAAACAGCCATCAACATTTGGATTTTGGGCCTCAATATCATCAGGGTAGGGCCCTGGGGAGTGTTGCTGAACAAAGAGACCTAGGGGTGCAGGTGCATAGTTCCTTGAAAGTGGAGTCACAGGTGGATAGGGTAGTGAAGAAGGTGTTTGACACACTTGCCCAGAGAACCCCGAGTGCTGAGTAATATTCAAGACTGGATAAGAAGGAAAAGAGGGGCTTTTAACAGATTCAAATCAGCAGTGGCCATGGTGGAGTACAGAAAGGGCACGGGGGATCTTAAGTAATTGAAGTGGGAAACCTCTCAACCTTTTAAAAAGTACTTAGTTGAGCACTTGAAATGTCAACATTCAAGGCTACAGGCCAAGTGCTGAAAAGTGGGACATGTGTTGATTTAGAATTGTTTTTGTTAGCGCACACTGAGTGGGCCAAAGGGCCTCTTCTGTACTGTATGAATATATGATCTCTGTACCATGAGATGCTATGCAAATAATAGGCTTAATATGGGATTCTGTCATCTCTCCTAAAGCTAATGAATTCTTACTTGGGGTCTCTGACATGATGTAGTTGAATATAATTTTTTAAAAGGTTGTGATGCATGACCAGTTAATCTATTTAAGTGGTATTAATTGAGCTTCAAGTCATGCCATAGTATTTCTGAAACTATTTGAATCACGTAATGGACTTTCAAGAATTTGCTTCAGTGTCTCATCCATAGGACAGTATAGCACTGTTAAACACTGAGGTTAAAAGGTTGCTTCGACAGATTCCAGGCATATACGTGAATGGTCAGAGATCCATTTCAACTTTCACATCATAAAATTCCAACAACACTGATTACTTGTTCCCCAAATACACAGCCAGTTCTCATCCAATTATTTCTTAATTGATATATAACGATCGCCTCATTCTATTTGGTCTATTTGCTAGATTCTACTGGATGATAACAAACACTCCCTCAGTATTTCAGTCTAGATTTTGTACTCAAGCTCTGAAATGGAGCCTAAAGCAAGCAGAATGCTGCAACTTTTGGACATGCAATTAAAATGTCATAATACATTGGTTGCAATGCTGAAAGCATCATAATGAGTCAGGAAGGAGATGTCTGAACGTGTGCTATCTTAACTAAGTTCATGGACATGAAGTTCTCACTCTGTCTCCTTCTCTCTTGCACAGACTGAAATATTTATCCCAGCATGTCTTGTATATTTTAATAACAATTAATTGTTGGACACAGCACTTAACCAACTGAACAATTAAGTGAAGTGAAAGTTTATACTTTACCAGATCACTTCTGGAAAACTAAGTAGTCATTCATTGATTGTCCTTTATCCATACTACATGTTGCTTCCTCAAAGAACTGCAATAAATTGGTTAAACATAATTTCACTTCCAAAAAATGATGCTGTTGCTGCCTGATTACCTTGAACTTATCAGAGTGGCCTGCTATAATTATGTTAGGATTTGCTTCTAACATCGCTTCTGATGATAAATGCTAAGCTACCTGGCCTGTAGTTTCCTGTTTTCTATCTCACTCTGATGATAAATGCTAAGCTAACTGCCCTGTAGTTTCCTATTTTCTATCTCACTCTCTTTTTGAATAAAGGAGTTACATTTGCTACCAACAAATCAAGTGGGGCCTTCACCAAATCTAAGGTGTTTGGAAAATTAAAAGCAAAGCAACCATAATGACTCCACCCACTTCTTTTAAGAACTTGAATGAAACCCATCAGGACCTGGGACTTGTCAGCCCACAGTTTCAACAATTTACTAAGTGCCACTTCTTTGTGAATGTAATTTCCCTGACTTTGTCCATACCTTCCATTTTCTGATTTATAGCCGCTTTTGCAGTGTTACTTGTATCCGGTGATGCAAGAAAGTGCAAAATTCTTGTTCAATTTATCTACCATCTCTTTATTTTTCATTATCAATTCTCCAGACTCCCTTTCTATAGGACCAAAGTTCACCACGTTAATTTATAATGAATGAGTTAGGTAATATGTAATAATGCATCTAAGATAAAAGGAAAAATGCTTGAAATACATAATAGGTCAGCCAACCACAGTAAACTGAAGATTTTGTCAAGGGTTTGGATATGGATACTCTTTAGGTAGAATGTTAATAACTAAATTCAGGAATGTTGCATTTTTAGTGTGGCCTCATTATTAATGAGCATAGGTCAAATAATTGGGACACTTATATCCCTCGTACTTGAAAGTGCAGCCTTTCAGAATTCCTCCTTGAAAGTAAGTTGAGGAGAAATTGAACTTCACTGCACCTAAAAACGAGAACATAAAGGTCCAACTTTGAGCTATAGCTATGACTTTTGAACAGCGTTAGCGGCAATTATTGCTATTTTGGTTTGGGAGCTTTAGAAATCTTTAGCCTCAGTCTAAACCAAGTTTAGGTCCCTTATGTTTGCAACTAAGGGGTTTAATGCCTTTTGAAAGATCCCTTTTTGAAACTGGTTGCTCTGAAGGGATCGGTGTCAGGACTGCTCTGCTCCGAAGTAATGTCGATAAAGTGAGTGCTACTGAATCGGTACAATGTTTTTAAAGCTCTTGTTGAAGCAGGAGGAGCAGGTGCTCTCCTCAGTGCTTCACAGTAAGCCTGCTGATCACTACCAATTATGATGACCACCCTGTTCCCTTCTCCAGCTCTTCACTGTGGACAGCTCATAATGTCATAGCTGCCTGATTTCCATATCTGCACTTCTTTAGCAAGCTGTGAGGGGGCATGAGGCAGATAATGGCAGTTCACCAGACTTCGTAAATTTAAGCAGAATCACTATCGATCAATCTTCTGACCTACCATCAGGCACAGAGAATATTCCCTGCACTCAGCTCATGCCTAAAGTTGCTATTGAATTTCTCAGTTCCTTCGCACCTTTTAGTGACTGACACCTATTTATATGTATTATTGTACATTATCCTATGTTTACAACATAAATGGACCTTTTATTGGAAAATATTTCATAGTTTATTCAAAGCAGACATTTCATCCTTTCTCCATTATATTGGACAGGACTCTCTTCATCTGAATCTGAGCAAGACTCTGTCCAGGAAGATATGACTCGGTAAGTATAGAGAAGACATGTCACACTCAGAAGTTTCCAATACATTTTATTTATCCTCAGAAGTTCAGAAATAATCAGATTCTTGGACCTCAAATTGTTCTCTCCAGTAAGTGGCAAGTACAAAGTTGGGGTCAGAGTACAGGATTATTAATCTGTATTTATGCTGTTACGTGTGATTTGGGAATAGTGATATTGAATTTTGACCACATACCAGGAAATTGGTCGAGCTTCTAACGTTGTCCTTGTTAACTGGACAAGTAAAACTGTAGGTGGCATTTTACACATTTCAAATCACTTGTGATACTTTGTGTACATTGAAAATTTATTATGCTTTTCCAGAGGTCAGTGGCCTCACAAGATTTTCTCTTGTTAATAATCAGCATCAGTTTTGTTGTACACAATGTGGAGCAAGTTTAAATAGAGTTTGAATCCACACTTTTATGCAAAATCTTTATTTTAGTTAACCACACTACAGAAAACTCACCTACTAGCTCCCCATATTTATACATCTCAATCTCACCCAATTAATTCTTAATTAACATATCCACGACTTGTTCTTTCATTCCTTTAAGTCTTAGGATTTCCTTCAGATGATAACAGATTCCCTTTTCCTTTTTAAATAAATCATTCTATAATGAAATGACAAAGCGTTAGAGATAACAGATAAAATAAGAACAAAAATAGATTATATTCTTCCCTTTTAGCACATATAAGTTCCAGGTTTCCTTCTTCCAACATGTACAACAGTTTTGTAGGACTTGATCCTTCTTCATAAAGCAATCAGATAGCTGACTGCTGCTACCAACCCATTTTGATTTGGAGATCTCTCCATCCTCAGCCTTGTTTCGGTCACAAATTTTGTGGAGTGCATGTTATCCCACACTATTTATCCATGTAGCATTCAATGAGTATTGCTGCTGAATCCCAATTTACAATGTTTTCAAATATTTCTTTCAATATTTTCACTAAAAAAGCCATATCTATCAGAAGCAAGAGTTTCTGCTTCTCAGGTGCTTCTTACTACTTTTCTGCTCTTTTTGGCTTTCTAAGCTAAAAGGCAACATTTACCTCTTTTCCCAAAAGAAGAATTATAAACCCTCGTGTACTCGAGAACCCATATTAACATTTGCATAAGAAATATCATTATAAACAAGTCTTATTTTCCTGGCATCTCTCAATCATGGGAATTTTGAAACACAGTTACAATTTTTTAATGCTTTTTCACCCAAATAATAGCTTCCGCACTACCTTCCCTGCATCGATCTCCAAGGTCTGTGCATGGCAGTGAATTCTGGAATTGGAAGTCAATGCACTGGCAGTCCATTCATCATGTACAGAATTGCCAAAGCTGCACAGTTTAGAGGTAATCCCACTTTGGGATTTTGTTATACTTAACTCTAATACTTCAAAACTGCTATATGGCCTTTATTGGGTGCCCTGCCAATTTAGATGTCCAATTAGACTTCGCAATTCCTCTAATTCAGTTTTGGAAGCTGATACATCTATTTGTGAGGCCCTATTTTGACTAATAGCAATGACCTGTCATTTTCAAAATAGGGTTACTGATACAAAGTGATACTTGATCTGTTCTGCCTGACTTCTAATCCACTGCACTTAAAATGCCCCAGATGTCTAACTTCTAATTTTTAATTCTGCTTTAAGCCCATTTATGACAAAGTTTTCAGATTCACTGCTACCACCCCAAAAAAATCATCTACATGCATCATAAAGATGCCTGAAAACTGCCTCTCATGCCAGTAAAACATGGCAGGCTTCACTGTTAACTGAAAACAACTAAATTTTAGTAATACAAACCTTACTGAGAAGTACAAAACTAGGCTATATACACATTTATTTAACTTCCAGAGTGTGCCCACTGTATTTGGTGTCTCTTTTTAAGGATGAAGAAACACTTATTTCTTAATTGATCTTCCTGCACTAATGCAGTTTTGATATCAACTGAGCTACACTATTTACATTTGTGCTCATAAAGCTAAGAAAATGTTCAAAATTGCTTTCCTGCCATTGGTGAATCTACAATTATATGTTGATTCTTCTTTAAAACTCTGTGCCATTGGCCCTGCTTTAGTCTTTCAAATCCGATCAAGGGACACCTTTTCGTTGCACATCCGCCTCTGTGATAGCTGGTTGTGTCCTATGTTGCACCCCTGTGTCCACTCCAAATTCTCTACAGGTTTGTAGTCCTTGTTGTGTGACATCTTTTATTAATATGTCTTCTCATTTGTTTATGGCCATGAGTTCCCAATCATGTGGACTTCTGTTCCTGGCTGTAGTTTTGGTTTGTATTTCATATCTTGTCCTTGTTAAACTGAGCTCTCCATCTTGCCTTCTATCTCTTTTCAAATTGCTACTGTTTGACCTCCCAACCCCTCTCCTATTAATGGAATTCCTTTCAATGTTTTGTGATCTATTTATTGGAGTGAGTTCTCTCTCAGTCCCACTATTTAAGCTTCACTGCGTTTTTTTGCCTCCCATCTTTTTACTTCTAATGTACTTTGTAATTCCTAATCCCATGGACCTTCTAACCCTAATCATTCACATATAGCCAGCTTTTATATTCTTCAGTGGTCTTCCCTGGTCTACTTATAATTGTTACAGTTCTCAATTGATTAGCCCGTTCTAATAAATATTTGACATTAATACCCACTTTTTGTAGTTGTCTTTGAACCAATGGCCTCGTATTAGATCTGCCCATCATCAGACAGACTATCAATTGTGACAGTTTGATCCTCATAACTGTGTAGCATTTGGGTATTACAGGTACCTGCATCCTTATTAGTGTTTACAATTTCTTCAGAATCTGCAAATTTGTAATCTGTATCATGCAATCTTGAAGACTGTACCCAAACAGTCTGGTTCCCATGTTGTACAATTATTATGTTTCCACCTTAACAAAATCTTCCCTGGGCCTCTCCATTCTTTAAGCCTGTCTTAACTTATAATAAACCATTTCTCCCTGATTGAGCCTGGTTTTTAATGGTCTTATCTTATACCTTGAGGTTTGTCAACTTCTTTGAGACTTTGGCTTTAATGAACTCATTCTGCCTTCATGCAAGGCATTCAAATGCTCTGAGAAACTAGAACTAATTGTAGCCCGTGCCCAAACTGGAGCTGATCACTTATTATGAATGAAACTTTAAGATTTCTAACAAAAAAACAGCTGAAATTGACTATAACCTACCAAATTTGTGAAAACACTCATTATAATTTAACCCCTGAAGCCCAGGAATCATTCTTAATCTGTTTTCAAATCAAAAGGTTCCAATTCTGAAAAAAAACTTTGCTTCTTATCCTACTTCTATGTGGTAATGAAAATGCAAAGGCCACACCTTTTTTCCCCTTTGCGTAAAGAATTATCCCAGTTCACTGTTGTAACTCCATTTTTCTGCTGGTCATAAGGCTAATGTTCAGCAAATTTTACTGTTTGAGTTAACCAACTTTACTACCAATGTTGTTCACAAGATCATGTATTTAAATAGAGATCAAATCCACACTTTCAGTGAGAGCTTTATTTCAGTTCACCACACATCATCAAGCTCACACAATACTAATTACTAGCTCCCCATATTTATACAACCAATTCACACCAAATTAACTCTTAATTAAAATATCCATCACCTGTTCCCTTGTTCTTTTAGGTCTTAGGCATTCCTTCATACCTTATTAGACGGGAATCAATTTCACTACCCTGAGCTGTATGAAACCCCGCCAACATCCTTTATCTAGCTTTACACACGTTTTGCTATCCGAATAAGGTACCAACTAGGAACATTAGCATTTAAGAGCAGGAGTAGGCCACTTGTCTCTTTTGAGCCTATTCTACCATTCAATAAGATCCTGGCTGGTCAGTTGTGATCTCAGCTTTGTTTTCCTGTCTGTATCCCATAACCCTTGATTCCTTTGTCTACCAAAAGTTGAACCTATTTTTCAATAAATTTAAAAGCCCAGCCTCCATTACCCTCTAAAGAAGAACTCCATAATCAAACAATCCTTTGAGGAAAAAAAAATCCCCTCATCTCTTCAAAAGGAAATCTCTTGTTAAACTCTGTTTCTTAGTTTTAATCTCCTAACAGTAGGAAACATCCTCCCATCATCCACTTTATTCAGTCTTCGCAAGGCCTTATCTGCTTTAATAACCTGTCATTCTTCTAAACTCCAATGTGTCTAGGTCTAGGCTGTTTAACCTTTCTTCATAAGACTTTGATCCCAGAAATGAGATGAGTGAGCCTCCACTGAACTGCTTCTAAAAAAATTGTATTTTTTTTTCAAACAAGGAAAGCAGAATTGTACAAAAAAACACAGTACTCCAGATATGGTCTTACCAAGGCACTGTACAGCTGTAATAAAACTTCCCTAGTTTTATGTTTCATTCTCCCTCCAGTAAATGACAAGATTCCACTTGCCTTCTTCAGTTTACTGGACCTGTATGCTACCTTTGTCATTCATGTACCAGGGCACCTAGATTCCTCTTTACCACCGAGTTCTGCTATCCAGATTGCCCTCTTTGGTTTCTAGCAGTGAGATGCAAATTCTAGCCAATGCTCCAGAAACGAACAAAGGATTTTGGTCAGTCTGTCTGGCTTCTGCTAATCCTCCAGCTTACTCCTGTCACTTCTATTTTTACCTGATGCAAGCTCATCAATGAAATTTCTTCCTTACCTGAGAAGACCAACGGGCCAGCATCGAAAAATTCCCTAATCTAGCACCTCTTATCATCCCCACCAGTGGAAATCAGCTGATAGCCACCGTGGGGCCCATCTCCAATGGACCCTCAGAACCTCCCCTGCCAACCTTTGTCACCACTCAACCCCATGGCCCTTTCAAACCCCTGTATCAACATAGTGCCAAATCATGCAAAACATTAGCCTCCTCTACCCTACCAACTGATGCCAACCCTCCACCCTTTGCTCTTAAAACCTCAACGCCAACTTACCCGCTATCCACCATGGACAGACCTTAGGAGCTTAATGAAAGAAATGAAATAACATTAAGTATTTTGTTACAAACTTCATTAAATTAAAAAAAAAATTGATAAAAGACCATTCAATGCGATTAAGTCACTTCAATATATAACCCCTTATAAAAACAAACATTTGTATCCATAGCCCGACGTCAAACACAGCTAATCCTTTGAAACAATTTGAAGCTGTCAGTCAAATTTTGAACTTACAAGTCCCCCGCTTTGATTTTGTTGTGGAAGCAGTCAGATAGCACTAATAATATAATGACAGAAAAATGCAGAGTTTTGGGATTGAAATTACTTGATGGTTTTATAGTTCTACAGACTTCATCCGCTTTTTTGCACACTTTCATGTTTGTGTCCGACGACAGAAAGTGTTGCCTGTTAATTCTGTTGATTTCTCCAAAGATGCTCCCAAACCTGTGGAATATTTCCAGCATTTTGCTTTTATTTCAGATTTTCAACACCTGACTATATTTTACTTTTGTAATATCTTTTGTATTAGTGTTGGTCAGAATGGTAGCTAATTACAGACAAGTGCACACTTTATAAAGAAAACCATAAGTATACATTCCAAGGTAGGAATCAATCTCAGGGAAAACAAAGTAATGTTACCCCATTTCAATCATATTTCAATAATGCTGCAATTGTTCATAATGTATGAAAAAGTGTATAGATTTTAGTTTTTAGTCAATGCTTTTTAAATTTCAGATTATGTAATACTAAAAATTGTGAGTCAGAAAGCATTGTGTTTAACTGTATCGTATCTTACAAATAGGGTTCAGGATAAGATTGACATTACTGTTGCAACTTCGCCTCCTCCCTCCAACCCTGCAACAGTTCATTCAGAGTTTCACCAGTCACAACCTACAGTCAACCAGGCTCCAGTGCGACCTCTTCAGCAGGTATTGTTGATTCAAAGCTCTGTCTTCTTTACGCTGGCTCTTCAATTGAAGTTATGTAACCAGTTCTACTTTTCAGCTCAATTCCCATGTTCCCTTGTCCTTTTTTTCTTAAGTTCAAATACCTTTCAATGTTTTGGTGAGAATTTTTCTAGTCCAGTTGAGGCTGCTCTTCGTGCATGTGGGTAACCAAATTCTGTGAAATGGAGTTCAGGTCAGGTCAGGATCTTCACATTACATTGTCCTTTTCTGATTTTCTGTGATCCCGGTTAACCCAGGTTGTTGTGGTGGTCCTCAGTTACAACCTTCTAAAACAAGACCTCTATAGAGGAACCAGTGGGCACATATTCCCAGCGGCCAACAAAGTGCTTGTGTCTGTAGGGCTATACCTACCCAACAACATTCTGTCCCTATCTACTGGTTCTCTGCTGTTGCCAAGCTGTGTGCCACCTTCTGCAGGGAGAGAAGGCAGAGACCTATGTGAGTTTGTAGTAATTTGCATGTAGAGGAGGAAAGGACAGCTATGAGACATGATTGAGTGAGTTACAATAGAATGAGGATGAGTGCTACTGTTGGCAGTTTAGATGGGAATATAAGGTGCCCACAGGGGGAGTAATGCAAGGTGCATGGTCCAGCAACATGGCGCAGAAAACTGCTTGAAAAGGTGCCTGAAAGTGTTGTCACCCACCTTTCCTACCTTCCTGATATACTGGATACACTACATCCAGGCTGGAGGGACCAGATTCCTGCTGTCATCTTCTTTGGTCACTTCCTTTCACACCTATTTGATTAGAGAAGTTGTCTTCTTCCTCCCTTCCTCAGAAGACCATTCCCCACTATAGCCCCTCAGATCTCACAGCAAGATTTCCATGTGAGAATGAGAGCCCTGGGGAGCAGCCATCCCAGGACTCCTCTCCATTTCTGTAATTTTTGCAGCCTCAAGTGCAGATGATCCTTCATAACCCACACTGCATTACCTTTAATTATAAATTCTTCATCACAGCATTCCCTGTGCACCACTTCTTCCCACCACCCCCTCACCCCCCAATCCACATTCTTAACTCTTCGGGTAACCCAAACGTGACATGATAATTCCATGATTGAATTAAAGAGCCATAGCTCAGTCTACTCATTAATAAATCAGGTTCCCTAGCCGAAAATGGTCCGAGGTTCTGGCAAGGATTATGTGCAGAAGATTCTTCCCTTTAAATTTAATGTTACACTCGTTTAAAAAAAGTCCTGGTTTGGGACTTATTGACAATTTAGATTTAGGACGTATTAATTTTGTGGAAAACAATTAATTGCAATCTTTTTCATAAATAAACTAGATCTGATATTAGTGGGCTGTGAAACCTGTAATGAATTGATGTTAACTTGTTATTACAAACCTAAGGATGCCCCTGTTTCAAAGTCATTGGGTGGAAATTAAGCACAAACAATTCCCAAATTGTATTGTGACACATTTTGGTAGGTGTAGAGGGGTAATAATTTTTTTTCCCTCATTTTTGTGATGAAAGCATTTACAGTATTTCTTTCTAATGACAGTGAATTTTTACGATGGAGACAGAGGTGCGCATTACAACATGCTGAGAAATGAAACAAAGACCTATTTAAATAAAGAAATACAAAAACTGCCACAAGTACATTTCTGTTAGCATCTGTAAAAAGTCAAAAACAATGAAATATTTCGAGTATTTGCTGTTCCTCAGAATTCATAGGATCTACCAAGCTGACAAACATCTTTTAAGGGGAACTGATTTTAGTGCTTTGATAGCTATGTTGCTTATACAGCTTGATACACTAATGAGCCAAAGACTAGGATGTAAACCATCTGAGTAATGGCCATGTGCTATCAAGCAGAAAACGCACTAGCAGGACTGCAACTGTATTTGAGTTGCGCACGGTTATCTGTCAGTTTAAGCTCTTAATTGATCTGTTTGAGCTTTTCAAGTAAAATAAGTCTATGCTGCTTAATTTATGTTACAGTATAAAAGAAACCATGGTTTAAAAGAACAGTGAGTATGAGATGGGACTGCAACATAATGACACATTCAAACAGAGTCCATGAGAATGGATCTCCCCAGTGAGGGCCACAGGATGAGTAAGATGGCTGCGGCACCTGAAACATTAATCTTGTCTGTTCTCTTTCCAGATGCAATTGGATCCACTCTGCATTTCCAGACTGTACATTTTTCTTCTTTTAACTTCTGCTAATAATTTTTTTCTTTCTGAGGATGGATAAAACTGTATTATTTTTCCACTAGATACAAAGCCCAACAAATTTATTGCAGGGATTGGATGGACTCCCCCTCATGGCTGCTCCAGTTTTTACAAAGGTATTGTAATTTTAAAGAAATGATTTACTTGATTGATAAACTGATCTATGAACTATGGGTGGGGCAATTTATGTGCAAACCATGTGGCAAAGTTTGCAATGATAAAGCTGTCATATTTTTCAGACAGCAAGCTGCTGTCAGCTTTCTAATAGGCTCGAGAATTGGTCCTACAGCACAGTCCAGATGTTTTTTGCCTGCTCACCTCCCCATATTTTGTGGTACCACTATTGTGCAAAATGGAATAGAACAAATCTAGCAGCTCAGAATTGAGCACCTTTTGAGGTGCTGTGGGCCATCAGCAGCAACGGAATTGTATTTAACTACAATTTGTAACCTCATGAAGCAGCATATCCCCCACTCTGCCATTACAATTGAGCCAGGATTCAATCCTGGGAACAGCACCATGCAAAGGAAAATGAGGTGAACCTACAGAACAGGATTGCATACATAAAACAGAAGCAACATGCAATAGATCGAAATACATAATCTTACACTAATGGATCAAATCAAAGCTCTGCTGTCTTGTCACATTGCTTCGTGAAAGTTTGGATGCTTAAAAAACTTAGAGGAAGAGGTGGCTTTACAAATATCTCCATCTTCAGTGACATGGGAGCCCAGCATATCAGTGCAAAACAAAGAACTGAAGTATTTACAACTATCTTCACTCCAAAAAAATGTCAAGTGGATGTCCCATCTTAGACTCTACCTAAGATACTCACCATTACAGATGCCAGTCTAGTCAATTTGATTCACTCCGGATGATGTAATGAAATAGCTGAGGCAATGGATGTAGCAAGGGCTACGGGCCCTGACAACATCCTGGCTTCAGCACTGAAGACTTGGGCTTCAGTACTAACCATGCAGAACAAATCCAATCCAGTCAATTGCTGCCCCATCAGTCTCCCCCGATTGACAGTGTGCATTATTTTGTACTGTGAGTAGTGCTAGCTAACTGCATTTTTAGCTTCCTGCTCTAACTAGAGATTGTGACACAGGGATATTGAAAGAGGAGGCCTGAACACCAAAGATGGACAAGTGCTGGGTTGGTGTGTTTCCTCTTTTTTGTACAACATTTTATTCCACAAGTCAGTCTAATTAATAATGTTGAGCGGGATACACGCTGAAGGAGGTTGGAGCAGCAGGAATAATGAGGAATCTGTTTCTGTTGGGGTCAAAAAATTGGGGTGTCTGGATTTTACCATAGTGTGATCCCCATGGTAGTCTTCACATTTATTCTAATTCACAGGATGTAGGATGTCGCTGGCTGTGCCAGCATTTATTGCCCATCCCTAATTGCCCAGAGGACAGTTAAGAGTCAACCACATTGTTGTGGGTCTGGAGTCACATGTAGGCCAGACCAGATGAGGATGGCAGTTTCCTTCCCTAAAGCACATTAGTAAACCAGATGAGGTTTTCCAACAATCAACAATGGATTCATGGTCATCCCCAGGACTCTTACTTCCAGATTTTTATTGAATTCAACCGTAGGGTATAAGTATTAAAGGGATGAACTTTTCTGATCTCCAAATGAATAAATGCCATCAAGGCTAATAAATAGTTCTGTGAAGAGAGAAATTACGCTCATTGAACCAGTCCAAAATAGATTCAGAACGTAGATGAAACACAAACTGAGCCAGTTGGATTTAAAAAGTATCCTGAAAGCCTGGAACTTAGGGGAGTTTATTTTATTAAATCTGTGTTTTGAAGAACTTGCATATTAAATAACTCAATTTCAAAGATAATAAATACAACAGTTGCTAGATTAGTGAAAGGAAAATTTGAATATCTTAATGTTGAGAAATTATAACCCGTGGATTATAATTAAGAGGACATTGGAGTTAGGCCATCAGAAGAAAGGACAAGAAGCGCTATTTTATGTAATAGGGTTTATACTGTTCGTATGCTGAATCACAAGAAGTTGTGCAGAAAAGCACGAAATGGAATCAAAATACTAACGGAATGTTGACTTCTATCTCACTTTGTTCTGAATGGTGTTAAGCATCTTGAATGTTGTTGGAGCTTCCCCCATCTATGCAAGAGGGGAGCATTCCATCACACTTCCGGCTTGTGCCTTGGAGACTGGACGGGCTTTGGGCAGTAAGGAGGTGAATTACTCGCTGCAGGATTCCTAATCTCTGACTTGCTTTCGTATATGGCTAGTCCACTTCAGTTTCAAGATGTTGATAGTTGGGGAATTAATAATGATAATACGGTTGAATGCCAAGGAGAGATGTTTAGATTTTCTCCTGTTGGAGATGGCCGTTGCTTGGCATTTGTGAGGTGTGAATGTTAGTTGTCACTTTTCAGCCCAAACCTTAATATTGTCCAGGTCTTGCTGCATTTGGACATGCACTGCTTCAGTATTTAATGAGTTGCAAAAGGTGCTGAACATTGTGCAATCAGCAGTGAACATTCCCACTTCTGATCTTATGTTGGAGGAAAGGTCATTGATGAAGCAGCTGAAGATAGTTGGGCCTAAGACATTACCCTGAGGAACTCCTGCATAGATGTCCTGAAGCTGAGATGACTAACCTCAAACCGCCACAACCATCTTCCTATATATCATGTATGACTCCAACCAGTGGAGAGCATTGTCCCCTGTTCCCATTGACTCCAGTTTTGTTAGGGCTCCTTGATGTCACAGTCTGGCAAATGCAACTTTGATGCCAAGGGTCTCACTCTCACCTCACCTCTGGAATTCAGCTCTTTTGTTTATCCTTGAACCATGGTTGTGATGAGGTCAAGAGCAGAGTGCCCCTGGCAGAACCCAAACTGAGCATCAGTAAACAGATAATTGCTGAGCACGTGCTGCTTGATAGCACTGTTGATGACTCCTCCCTTCACTTTACTGATGATTGAGAGTAGACTGATGGGGTGATAGCAACTTCGCTTGGGGGGTTGCAATTTCTGGAATACGAGTCTTCAGTACTGTTGCGAGAATGTTTTCAGGATCCATATCCTTTACCGTATACAGTGCTTCCAGCCATTTCTTGATATTACACAGAGGTGAACCAAATTTATAGATGTATCTGTGATGCTGAGGTCCTCTGGTAGAGCTGAGATGGACCATCCACTCAGCACTCCTGGATGCAGATTTTTGCAAATCCTTCAGCTTTGTTTTTCCCACCGATGGGCTAGGCTTGTTGAGTCTCCTCCTCCAGTGCGATGTTTAATTGTCCACCACAATTTATAACTGGATGTTACAGGGCTGCAGAGTTTTTGTCTCATCCATTAGTTGTGGAATCACTTAGCTCTGGCTGTCACTTGCTGCTAATGCTATTTGGCACACAAGTCGGCCTGTTTGGTAGCTTCACCCCAGTTTGACACCTTGTTTTTAGGTATACTTGGTGCTACTCCTGGCATGCCCTGCTGCACTCTCCATTGAACCAGGGGCGATCCCCTGGCTTGGTAGGTAGAGTGGGAGATACACTGGACCATAAGGTTGTAGGTTGTGTTGGAATATGATTCTGCTGCTACTGATGGCCCACAGCATCTCATGGATGCCCAGTCTTGAGTTGCTAGATCTGTTTGAAGTCTATCCCATTTAACACAGCAATGTTGTACCACACAACATGATATAAGATATTCTCAATGCAAATGTGGGACTTCAACTCCAAAAGGACAGTGCAGTGGTCATTCTTACTGATGCTGTCATAGCAGATTCAATGCAGCTGAAGAATTAGTAAGGTCATGTATATTTTTCCCATTTGTTGGTTTCCTCACCACCTGTCATAGACCTGGCCTAGCAACTATGACCTTTAGGACCCAACCAGCTCAATCAGTAGTGCTGCTGCTGAGCGACTCTTGGTGATGGACATTGAAGTCTCAGAGTGTCTTCTGTACGTCTGTACCTCCTCCTGGTGGTTTTAACATGGAGGATTACTGATTCATCAGCTGAAGAGGCAGGGAAGCTGCATATGGTTATCAGCAGGGGGTTTCCTTGCTCATGTTTGACCGTTGCAATAAGATTTCAAACGGCTGAGTCAATATTGAAGACTCCTAGGGCAGCTCCCACCTGAGTGCATACCACAATGCCATACCTCAGGGATGGTGAATGTGTTGTCTCATACTTAGTGTGTGCAATGTGATTACCTGAGTATAAGTATGTCAGTCTGTGGGACACACATTTATTCTGCAGATGTTAGCAACGAATGTCAACAGTGCTGAATTTGCTGTCGTCATTTCCGGTGCCTTAGCCAACACCAGATGGTCTGCCTGGTTTCACTTAGCTATGGAGTGGCTTGCTAGGCCATTTCAGAGGCCAGTTAAAAGTCTGGATTCACATGTAGCACAAATAAGGACAGCAATTTCTTTTGATAAGGCATATTAGGTGAATCAAATGTGTTTTTATGACATGGTTTCATGGTCATCATTAAACCATATTAAATCATTAGCCTTTTAATTCCAGTTATTTGATTATTTATTTATTTATTTATTTATTTAATTCATAGCCATGTACTATGTTGGGATTCAAATCCAGGTCCCCAGAACATTGCCTGGGCCTCTGGATTACAAGTCAAACCTGGAACCATTGGGTATCAGGTGGGAAACTGCCTGCTGGTTAGAGTCATAACTGGCACATAGGAAGATGGCTGTGATTGTTGGAGATCAGTCATCTCAGCTCCAGTCATCTCAGCTCTGCAGGAGTTCCTCAGGGTAGTGTTCTAGGCCCAACTGTCTTGTGCCATGCTAGCTCTGTGATTAGCACTGCTGCCTCACAGCACCAGGGAGCCAGGTTCAATCCCAACCTCGGGCTACTGTCTGCGTGAGTTTGCACATTCTCCCCATCTCTGCATGGGTTTCCTCTGGGTGCTCTGGTTTCCTCCCATTGTCCAAAGATGTGCAGGCTAAGTGGATTGGCCATGCTAAATTGCCCACAATGTTGAGGGATGTGTAGGTTAGATGGATTAGCCATGGGATATGCAGGGTTACAGGGATAGGGTATAGGAGTCTAGGTGGAATGCTGTTCAGAGGGTCAGTGTGAACTCGATGGACTGAAT